ACTGGGTACAGTCAGAAGCGCGGGAGGGTGAGAGGATTCACCAGAGCCAGAGCGGGGAGCAGAGCAGGCAGAAGGACCGAAGGACACTGCTGAGGGGAGCAGCGGGCGGCAGGAGAGGTCTGCGCGCCATGCGGGACCCTCCTCCGGTGGCCGGGGAGCAGCCTGGGATCGAACCGGCGCTGCAGAGGCTGCGGGCGGCTTCGCAACCCAGCGCTCAACCGCTGTGCCACCAGGGAGGCCCAGGAAGAAGGTGTTTAAAACAAACAGAACACAGGCCCGGGGGGCCAGGGTCTGGTGGGCGCGGGGCACTCACCCGGGTACTGGGCGGCCGTGTGGCCTCCGTGGAAGGGAGCAGTGACGTGTCGCCGGTCGTGCTGTCTGGAGGTGGAAGAGACGCGTTGTGGTGCCGGTAGAGCAGTGGCCGGGGTGCCGGGGCCACAGGGTGAGAAGTGGGGTGTGGTGACCACGAGGGGGGGTGCTGTGCGTGGGGGAGGAGTTGGGAGGCCTGGGCAGGGCGTCCCTCCCCGCACTCTCACCCGGCTCCGCCTGGGCTCGCCCGTCACGCTGACGTCTGGAGGGACATGCACGTGCTTGGTAGCCCGGCAGAGCCAGGGCGGGACCCCACTCCCGGAGGCGCCCAGAAGGCCGGCTCCTCAGAACCCGAGCAGAACCGGGGAGAAGCAGCCTTTGGCCGAGACCAGGCGGGGTCCTCAGCTAGCCCTGGCCCCGCTCCAGGCGCCCACGTGGGAAGTGCCTTCCCAGCCTCTGCCCCCCCTGCCCCCATGCAGGCCCGCCAGCCCCCACCCCGGGGTGCAGTATCCCCCGCCGGCTCCCTCGCCTGGCCACCCTCGGCCAGATCGTGCTGGCAGCGCGCGGGCTCCTCCGCGCTGTCCCTGCCCTCCCCTCGGCTCCTTCTATTTATAGCCCGAGCCGCTGGCAGACACGCCGTGCTGGAGCATAAACGTGGGGGCGGTTTCGGGAGGGATTTCTGGGCCGAGCAAAATTAAGTCCGTGACTCGGGCTGGTATTAAAAGCGAAGGGGAAGTGGGGACGGGCGGCGGGGGGCGATGACCGGGGCCGGATTTAATGCTCTGCGGGAAGAGACTAGCCCGGCCCGGGGGATTTCTTCCAACGCGAGGTCCCCTGCGCGCTCAGCGCCTCCGGGAGAGCTGGCCCGCGAGCCGGGGCGCCAGAGCGGGGCCAGGACGTGGGTCCCGACACCCTCTGTGCGGGGCACGGCCCTGCCCCGCTGGGATGACGGGCAGGGTGGGGCCGGATTTGAGCCCAGGCACCCCCGCCCCCAAGCCCACCGGTCCACGCTCCCACATCCGCCCATCGCTTGGCCAACGCCTGCGAAATGGGTGTGAGCGGGTCCGCCCGTGCCTGCCGAGTGTGAGTGGACGGGGGTGTGGACGGTGCTGGAGAAGCAGACGGGGAAGGGGGCGCTGCTGAGGGGCACGAGAAAGGGGAACCAGAAGGTGTGGAGGTGACAAGGTCTTTCCTGCTCTTTTCCACCCCCGGGAGCTGTGGGAAGGCCCGGCCGCCCCAGGGACTCAGCAAATGCAGCGGAGCCCGGACGCTGTGGGCTGGGGCCGGCACCTGGGGTTTAGGAGCTGCGGGGTGGGGGTGGGGGCAGAAGCCCCCAATGGCAGCTCCCGAGTCTGGCGCTTTTTATCGGGATTTGACACTCGCCCTCTAGCCTTGCCGGGGAGGCGGCTGCTGCCTCTCCAGCGGGGGAAAGCGAGGCTCAGCTGCACAGACGTGATGTGAGGCCAGGCTCTGCCCGGCCCCCTCTTGGAAGGGGCTCTGCCCAGCCTCACTGACCCCACCTTGACAGCTGCAAGAGTGGCGGTCAGCGTGGAAGCTCAGTTCTGGAGCCAGAGTCTGAACTCCGCACGCCCTGGGAAGGCCCCTGGGGGTGTGAGGAGCCATCGGCCAGGCCTCCCCACACTCACAGGTCCCTGCCCCTCCCCGGGGCCAGGCCACACTGGCTGGTCTGCGCAGACGCAGAGCAGGCGCTCGCCCACCACCTCCTGACCACCCGCCTGGCGTCGGCCTCAGTGTGACTGAGCAGTGGTGCACCCAGGCCTGTGGGTGGAAGGGGCGGACTGTGGTCTCCCTGGCGCCCCTGACCCTCCTGGGGGCATCACAGGTGGGAGAGTCCTGCTGGGAGGTGGCAGGCCGAGCCCCCAGCCCTGCCGTCCCCATGCTCCCAGGTGATTTAGAAGCTGCTCCCCAACAGCTAACCTTTGAGGATTTTTCCAGTTATTTCTTCCGGCTCCTTCCTAGGGAGGCTGTGGCTCGCCGGTGGCCAGCCCTGACTCCCTCTCCTCGGGTGTCAGCTGCTCCGCAGCCTTGCTGAACCGGCCCTTCTCCAGCAGGGCGCCCAGCTGGCCTGGTCCGGGGCCAGAGGAGGGAATTAATTGCCGCAAGGCATGTGCAGGGCCTTAGTGCTGACGGGGCTGAAACCCCACTTGAGCACAGCCGCCGCCGGCGGCATCATTACTATCATTAGATTCATTTCCACCAGAGTCTTAATTAACACCCATGGGTCCCAGGAGGGGCGGCCATGGCACCCTTTTAAATCCAGGAAGCGCATCAGACTCTCAGGGAGAACTTGGGCCTCTCTTCTGCTGTGCTCTGCTGTTCCCCGCCGGGGATGTGGGGGGTGGGGGTGATGATCAGATTTGGTGCCCTGGGACCTGGATCTGGAAGAAAATGGCTGCTTTTGTGGGGGACAGAAAGTCACCAGTGTGGTGGCAACTATCAGGGCAGCCAGCTCTGGGGTCTGTCACCAACTGTCCCAGTTTGCCACCACCTAGGGCTCCAGGGGCCAGCAGAGCTGGGAGCCAGGGCAGGATTAAAAGGGGCAACTCAGCAGATGGGCTGCAGGGAAAATGAGAAAGCGGAGACGTGGGCGTAGCCACCCTCCACGGGTTCACCGATTTGCACATAATGTATTTTTCCCACACCTGCTCGTTCCACCTCACCTCCCATTTGATTGAGAGGTTCGGACTGCCCTGGTGGGTGGAGCGCACTGTTCATCAGGTGTCCCTGAGGCCCTCGAAACAGGGGAGGAACCACAAATAGCAATCGCACGAGCCCACAGGGCAGCCTTCACAGTCCGCTTCTCGGGCAGGAAGCAGGCCAAGGCGGACGCCGCTGCCCAGGACACTCTAGACCCCGAGCCAGCACTCGCATGCACTCACCCCGGCCCACTGGGCCACGCGGCATGATCTCGTCACACTGTTAGGGGCTGTCAGTTCCATCTATGGAAGAGGAAGCGGAGGCTGGAACCGAGGGCACCTGTGTGGGGTTGCGGGCGGAGACGTGGCCCCGCGAGCGCCTGTGTCAGAACAGAGCAGCCGGGAGACGGAAGAGCCGGTCTCTGTGTGCATGTCTGTGATGTACCAGACCCCTTTTGAAGTGCCTTCTGGCACTACGGAGGAACCAGTGCGGGGTCCCAGCAACCCCAAATTTATTCCAACCTGGCCAGGCTCACCTCACGTGCCCCTGCACATCCCCGAGTGTAGATGCGGCCAAAGCAAGGCACTGAGGGCAAATCATAGCCTTGACAACATGTCGGAAAAGAGAAAAGTGTCCTTTCCTCCTGGCGCCCAGCCTGCTGCCCTCCCCTTCCTGCTTGAGCGAAAGGCCCCTCCTCTGGGTCGTCTAGGGGCCCCTCATCCCGGAATCCTCATTGACGTCTCAGCGTGGCTGAACTCCTGCCTTATCCCTCCCATCGTGAACTTCTCGATGCTGGAACTCAGTCATCACCTTCACACACTCACACTTTTATGCTTCTCACACGCTCTCACCATCCACACACGCTCTCTCACATTCACACACCCACACACGCTCTCGCACATGCGTCTCTCACAAGCTGACTCACACGCTCATGTCCATTCATGAATGCTCGCTCATCACTCAGCGCCACAGTGAGAATGTTCTGGAATAACGCCTGCCCCACACCAGTCATCACCCTCCTTCCACGGGGGCCCCACAGCTGCTGGGGACGAGGGTCAGCCTGGTGTCAGGAGCAGCTGCCTCCGTGCAGGACCCTGGCATGATGGTCAAGCTCATGACGAGTCCTCCAAGGGCAGGGAATGATTGATTGGGAATGATTCCAGTCACCTGTGCTCTTCCGACGGGGGGAGGGTCGCACCAGGCCTGATCTCCAGGGTTGGGCCAACAACCAGGTGACCTCCCTGCAGGAGGGTCCCCCGACATCGGCATCCAGGTGGGGCATATTCACACAGGCAGGACGGAGACAGCAGGAATCTAGGCTCTCTCCGCTCTGGAGGCTGGAGTCCAAATTCAAGATGTGAGCAGGTTGTGCTCCCTGTGGAGGCCCAAGTGGAGGAAGCTGGCCGCCGCCTCCTGCCTGGGGCTGTGGCTGCACCCTCCAGCCTCTGCCTCCCCCTTCCATGTCTCTTTGAATCTGTCTTCCCTTCTCTTCTGTCCCTTTTCTTGTCATTCTCAAATCCCACCCGGGGTCTCCAGCCTGAGGGCTCCACCTGCTCTCAAAGCAGGTTCCCCAGGCCACCCCCCACCCTTCTCGAATGCTCCGTAGTTGTGTGTGTGGCTGACGCCCCGCCAGGTGCCTGCCTGCCCCGCCTTCCAAGAACGCCCCGCCACAGGCTGACCATCTTAAGTTTCTCACCTGCTTTCCGGGCCCGTGGCCAGAGCTCAGACCCTCCATGTGGGCAGGCCAGGGGTACCTGGGAGGCCTTTGGGACCCCTAAATGATCCCTGGACATCTCGGCCCCTCCAGCATCGCTCAGGCACACCCCCCCACCCCAGGTTACAGTTCTGGCCTCCATGCCAGCCTGCGTTTCGGACAAACAGGGCCTGGGCCCCACCTCTGTGTCCCCGACACCTGGCCTGGCATGGAGGGGACCTCTGGCTGGAAAGGAGTGCGTGAGGAGGGGCGAGTGGAGCGGGCAGCAAGGGGCTGCCGGGCACTGCCCCCAACAGCCCGTGTCCCGTGTCGCTTGCAGACGTGCTGGTGGACGGAGTGCCCTGTGACTGCGAGGCCACAGCCTGCCGGGTGGGCGACCCCGTGCGCCTGGAGGTGCGGCTGACCAACCAGAGCCCGCGCAGCGTGGGGCCCTTCGCCCTGACCGTGGTCCCCTTCCAGGACCACCAGAACGGCGCGCACAACTACGACCTGCAGCACGCGGTCTCCTTCGTGGGCTCCAGCACCTTCTACCTGGATGCGGTGCGTGGCGGCCTGGCACCCCTGCCCCCCCCACCCCGGCGCCCCCGCCCCGCCACCCCGGTGCCCCCACCCCAGCGGCCGGCGTCTGCCCTGAGTGGAACCGGTGAGCAGGCCCCGGGGCGGGGCTGTGCGCCGCGTGTTTCTGCGCTGCCGCAGCCCCCCCATCCTGTACCACTGCCCCTCCTGGCGGGCCTCACCCCGGCCCCCACCTCCCAACCAAACAGCACAGCCCCCCTCCCTCCCCTAACCCCCCCACTACCTGGACCCCCCACTGTCCGAGGAGAGACGTGCCCTCCTTCAGAGAGGGCAGCTGGAGATGGAGCCCCGGATGGGGCGTGGGAGCAAGGCTGGGCCCCCGGCCCGTGTCCAGCGGCTTCAGGGTCTCCCCGTGGCTGCTGGTCGGGCTGACGCCTCTTCCTCCGCAGGTGCAGCCGGCCGGGCAGTCTGCCTGCCTCGGGGCCCTCCTCTTCCTCTACACAGGCGACTTCTTCCTGCACATCCGCTTCCACGAGGACTGCTCGAGCAAGGAGCTGCCGCCGTCCTGGTTCTGCCTGCCCAGCGTGCACCTGCGGGCCCTGGAGGCCCAGGCCTAGCGCCGCCGTCGGCCCTGCCCCCGCGGGCACAGGTGTGCCCCACGCCCCGGCAGCCTCCCCCTTTCTCCTGCAGCCTCCTGGGCTCCAGACTTGGCAGCCTCACCTGTCCCCGCCGCCCCCAGCGCCCCCAGCTGGAGCCTGGTGCTGGCCAGAGCCCAGGGGATGGTGCCACCCTGTCCGGTCCTGGGGCCTGGGGCTCACAGCTCAGCCTGCCCTGGGAGGGGAGGGTGCGCGTGAGGGAGGGGTGCAGCCGGTGCGCCTGGGGAGCTCCTTACCCTGGATACTCGGAATCTCTCAGGCAGGCACCGGGGCACGGGAGGCGGCGCTGGGGTTAGCGCAGGGGCTTGCGGCCAAGCCCGAGCCAGCAGCCCAGCCCCCAGGCTGCCCCCGTCTCCACCCCAGGAGCTCTGTGCACTGCGGCCACTTCTCAATAAAGGGCCTCCCCGTCCCTCCGCTGGTCCATGCGTCCAACCGCGTCCATGCGTTGTCCCCGCCTGGCGTGGCCACGGCGGGCTCCCTCACGCCTCTGTGCCGCCATTTCCTCATCTGTGAAGCAGGACGATGCAGCCTCGGGCTGGTGCGGGTCGTGTCTGGCCTGGAGCCGGGCATGTGGGCATCCAGTGGACGGTAGGCGCGAGGCAGTCTTGGCCTTCTCCTGCCAGCCCTGCGGCCTTGCAGCACGGCCCTCCACCCGCCGCCAGCCCCGCACCCACCCGTCAGTCTCCAGAGCCCACCCCCCGCGGGAGCAGGAGAGATGGCACTTTTGTGGGGCCCCCAAGTGCTCTGCGCTGTCCAGGTGGGTGCTCTGGACAGGCAGGACCCCACTTCTACCAGGGGAAAAACAGTGAGCAGAAACAGGACAGGATGTGCTTTGGGATGTGTTTATCAGCACACACCACAACACACCCCCCCCACACACCCCCATACCCCCCCCACACACACTGAGTCAGTACGAGGCCTCAAGTTGGACAAGCAGGTCGGTGCCTCAGGTTAAGGTGTCTCAGGTGATGCGAGCCTGGGCCGTGTCTTGCTCTCTGGTAAAGCCCCGCAGGGCCCCTGCAGGCGCCCCGTCTCCATGGAAAGGCCCCACCCCCCACCCCCAGCAGAAGGAGGGCCTGGGCCGCCAGGACAGCGGGAGTGGGCTCGAGCTGCGGTCCCGCGGAGGGCAGACGCCTCCTCGCTGCAGCCTGCCTTGCTGAGCCAAGGGCGAGTGGCCGCGGTGACCGCCGGGAGGGGGTGGTGAGGGGGCGTCTGTGCCCTGGGGAGGGAGGCCCGGAGCAGGGACACAGCTGCAGGAAGCCCTACGCTCTCTGTGCGGGGCCGGCGTCTGTAAAAGTGTTTCTAGAAACGACCTTTAGACCCGGAGAAGAGCAGGGTGGTTACGGGAGTGGGGGGCGGTGCGGGCGGGGGAGGCCGAGCTGGGGGAACTCCTGGTGCTCACACAGTGCCGAAGCCACGGTGGGTCCGTGACATTTTAGGAAATAAAAACGGCCGAGAGAGAATCTCAGGTGTCCGGCGCTCGCGAGGAAGCTGACCGCGCGGAGCAGGAGCTTCCGTGACGGACGGTGCGGCCGCGGCCGTGCAGCTGTGCGCCGGGCAGCCCCTGCGGATGGCGGGTGCACGACATGTGTGCGAACTGGAGGAGATACACTCCTCCCTTGCCGTGGCCACCTCCTCTGGGGCCGAGGAGGGGTCAGCTGGGTGCAGGTCAAGGGCTTTTTGAAAGTGTAGCAGAGAGACCGAGGCGGCAGGCGCTAGAGACGGGAGCGCTGAGGTGCGGAGACAGGAACGGGACGGGAGCTACATGGAGGCCTGGGGCGCTGACTGCGTGGTCAGTGTGGATGTGACGGTCACTCTAACATTTCCTGTATGTTTTGCTCCTAACACACGCTTATGCACATGTGCACGCATGCACACCCCCCCCGAGTGGCGCTGAATGCCGCGAGAACGGAGTCTCAGGGTTGGAGGCACAGTTGTCTTCCTGGAGGAGGGGGTTGTAGAAATAACCCGGGTACCCTGAAAACTGACCCACAGGCGTCTGCACAGACCCCGCTGTCCTGAGTGGAGGAGATCCGGGCAGGATGGCTGCGAGTGTGCAGAGGCGTGTGCTGGGTGGGGGCCGGCGGGCCCGGGAGCCGTGCATGGTGGCTGCCTGGCAGCACGTGGCTGCCTCCCCTGGCCATGGAGCTGGGCGAGCAGGTGGCGGTGGAGGCGGAGGCCCGGGGCAGGCGCCTGAGTGGCAGCTCAGAGTCCTGGTTCTCCCAGGTGCCTGAGCCACCGGCTCCTGGGCAGCACCGCAGCCCTCAGCATCTGACCGCCCAGGGGCAGGGGAGACAGAGCCGGGAAAGACCAGGTCCTTCTCACCAGCCGAGCAGCTGGGTTTGCCCCCCGACACGTGCTCCCTTTGGGCTGGACAGGCCCGCGGTGGCCCCATAGCCGCCCAGCGGCCATGCTGTGTCACCTGAGGTTCATCCAGCAGAGCACGGCTGACAGGAGGACGTCTGCGCTGCCAGCCCTGCCCTGAGACCCCGGCCGAGTTACTTCAGTTATGCTGCAAGTTTTGTCTGCATGAGTGGAGACAAAAATGCTCATTTCCCAGGCATGTTCATGCTCCCAGGTTGATCTGACCCCGGTGTCTAGCACATGGTCGCACCTCCTCGATGAACGCGTCTGCCCCTTCCACTCACTCGCGGATCCCCATCCACACGGCCGCCCTGGTGCTGGAATCTCCGCATGACATCACCGGCCTCCCTGAGACCTCTGGTGGGTGAATTTGTTGGGTGACATGAGTAAGATGAAACAGGCCTCCCGGCGCCCACAGGAAGGGACTGCCCCCCCCAGGGGGCCTCTGACTCGGGTAAAGGCCGGACTGTGACGGTTTCCAAAGATGCGGGCATCAGCTGAGCCTCTGAACCTGCTAGCCTGGAGGCCACTGGCATTCTGATGTCTTAAGGACCAGCGTGGCCCCAGGAAGCAGAGAAGAGGGCGAGGTGCACGCTTTCACCTGGCTCCTGGGCCTCTGAACGATGAATCTCAGGATGAAGAAAAACGATAGAAATAAAAAGCGGTGTCAACACAGTGAACTAAGACCCAGAGTAAAGCCTCTTAGGAAAACAACAACAACAACTAAGAATCATGGTAAATACATTTTAAAAAAATGTAAAAAAAAAAAACAAACCTGCGAGTGCCCCCACGAGCTGGCAAGAGAGAAAGATCAGTCCAGTGCCTGTGAGCAGGCAAGCTCCAGGGGCCGCGGTGCCACCACACCAGCTTGGACTGCGGGAGTTTATGCCAGGGCGGTAGCATCAGTTTTCAAAGACTTACAAAGCTGCAAGGGAGAAATCCACCTGGGGCCCACGGGTGAGGACCCAGCAGGAGGCTGCTACCGTTGATTGGAGAGCCCAAAGGATCAGGTCCCTAAGGGTGAGCTGAACAGAATCCCCCCAAGTCACTCAGAGACTGGAAATGAAACTCCTTTGCAACCTGAATTGGCCTCCCCGGACTCCGTGGACCCAGACAGTAAGTGGTTCATTGATTTGAAACTGGTCCTCCCATATACCACCCCCGCCACATGGCAGACATCTTTTCTGAAGGAAAAGTAAACACATCTTTTCTGAAGGAATCCCCTGTTGTCCAAAATCTCCAAGAGTTTCTACAAGGAAAATTAGCAATTCTGGATTTAAGTAGAAAGTCGTCATCGACACCAGGAAACAACGCGCCGTGCACGAGAGCCAGAAGGGACAAACCAGCAACCCGGGGCTTGAAGAGGGCCAGGTGTCGGGTTTACCAGACAGGCTCTATAAGATCTGCTCACCATGTTACAAGAAATGAAAACTGTTACAATGGGCAAAGAGCTAGAGCATCATAAAATAATCATCTGGATTCCCTATAACTAAAGAATAAAATTGAAGTTAAATACTTAGTAAATCGGTTGAAGAACAGATTAAATTCAGTTTAAGAAAGAACAAGGAATGGAAGATAGAATTGAATGTTATCATAAGGCAGCCCAAAAAATAGGAGACTTAAGAAAACATGGAGGACAAAGCAAGAAACTCGCACAGATTCCGAACCCGTCTAACCGGGGTTACAGGAAGAGAGGCTAGAATGGGAAGGAGCCGAAGTCGGCGGGAACGGAGGACTTCTCAGAACTGATGAAAACGAATTCCACATATTTAAGAAGCCCATAGCATGACATTTACAACACACAGTGACACATCGTGATACAAAGTCAAAAATCAGATGCAAGGGGACGATCCTGAAAGGAGCTAGAGAGACAAGACCAATTCCCTCCACGGCAGGGGCAGTGTGACCGGCAGCTGACTGCTCCTCAGCAAAAACGAAATCAAGGAGCCAGTAGATTAATATCTGAGAACATGCTGAGAAACAGGAGTACTTTTTAATAGTTGAAATCACATTTTCGTATACGAAGTTAACTTTTCCACCACCGGAACCTCATTAAAGGAAATCTAAAGAATGAACCTCAGGCAGAGGGAATTTGACACCAGGTGGAATGTCAGAGATGCAAGAAAGAAAGAAGAACAGATAAAGCAGCGCATTTGTGGTAACTCCACATTGACTGTACGAGAGGTATGAATTATGGTTAAAACAATAGAATTAACATGTATAGCAAGATAATACATAAATGGTGGTAAAGGGACAACTGGAATCAAAGTGTCCTAGTAATCAAGTTCAGAGGTGCAGGAGGAGGAGAAAGATGCTGATTAATTTAGACTTACGCTTTGGCGTTTTAATTATGGAAGTTTCAATTTCTGTAGTAACCACTGAAAAAATGAGAAATAGCATGGGCAGCTTATAAGCTAGAGAACCAAAAAAAGGGGGGGTTGGATAATTTTCTTTCATTCCATCTGAAAGAAAAAAAGATCAGAGAAATAAATGGATATGGCAGAAAACAAACCATTTTAATGTTGTCATCATAATATATTTGAGGAAATGAGACCACATGGTTAAGGGCCACCCATGAAACTTGCTATCAAATAAGTTGTAGAATATATTTAAGTATATCATTGCTTATAATAAGGTAAAATGAATTACATATTCCAGATAACATTATAGTCAAGTTTATGATGTTTACAAGAGAATTAAGACATAAAGATATAGACAGTTGAAAGAAAATGATGTATCAGAAAAATTCAAATGACAAGAATATCAAAAGCCAAAAATATTTTTAGTAGTAAAGTCAACAATGTCATGGTAAAAGTAAAACTCATTGTAAAAGTAATAACTCATTAGAAAATTATAATAATGTCAAACGTGTATGTAGCTGTTAATATAATCTCATTATCAGGAGGATTTTCAGCAGAAACTTTAGAGGTCAGAAGAGAGTGGTATGATATATAGTCAGTATTGAAAGAAATTTGCAACTTTGACTTTTATTACCAACCAGGTTAACTTTCAGATTAAAGGACAGATTAAGAGTTTTCACAGGTTAGCCGATGCTAAAGAAATATATTAT